TTATTCAATATTCAATATGGTAAGAATGACAAAGGAATTTTCTATGATGGATAGTTTGTTGAGATTTTTTTCTGGCTTGCTTATATTCACTGTTTAAAGAGGAGATTTCAATTATTTGATGCTACAATTATTTCATACTTCTGAAACACATCGATGAAAGGTTTTATTTCAACAAAGCTTTCGAAAAAAATTTTATTCCATAATAGCTAATAACATGTCTTTATCAATCACTGCTTATATGCCACAAAATCAAAAATTGAGTGGAAAAGCGAAATTATCCCTTTTGACAGAATCCAGATCTTTATGTACATTTCCTAGAATCACAACTACCCTCCTCTCTTGTTGAGCCAGAAAATTATGATTTTATACAAAACAAGCTGACAAAAATTAACTAAATTCAGAAAAAATTCAAGATATTCTTTTTGACATTTAGTTAAGGATATTTTCTATGAGTGCAGAGTTTAATTAGGCTTCTTTTCTCTATTCTCATAAAGAGGGACCTGAGTGGTTTGGTTATTTCTTGAGTTATGATGTCTGCTTGACTTGAAATCCTAGAAATTTACTCTTCGCATAAAAGATAAAATAAATAGGTTTTCTTTTCCATATAATTTGCATCCGGTAACCTTTACATCTATTAATGGGTTTTCTGCAAATTTTATTTACAAGCGTTTATTTTTAGATGATTTGGGGCAAGATACATGAAATTGGTTGCAGTAGTGCTATCATGGTAAAGTGTCCTATATCGTTTGCTTCTATCAGTCGCGGTGAGCCTTCATGAACATTTTGATAATTATCGTTTATTACCAAGTTTGTTATTTTGTAACTTCGAATTATGTCTTAACAAACTATCCATCATAGAAAATTCCTTTGTCATTCTTACCATATTGAATATTGAATAACTTTATCTAATTTCATTCACAAATTAAAATTCCAGTGGAAATGTGGAGAATGAATTAATTTACGAACTTGGCGAGCCATGTAAGGACCATAGCGATTGTGACATTGGGAAATGTTTAGAAGAATCCGGATTATGTCGAAAAACAGAAGAATCTATATTTGCACGTTCATTTTGTCGTCTGGTTAATTAATTATTAATGAGAGGGTGTTTGTTGGCTGTTTTGAACTTGGCGAGCCATATAAAGAGGAGAGTGACTGTGATTTTGGGAAATGTATAAAAAGATCTGGATTATGTCGAAAGGGATAATTTCGCTTTTCCGCTCAATTTTTGATTTTGTGGCATATAAGCAGTAATTGATAAAGACATGTTATTAGCTATTATGGAATAAAATTTTTTTCGAAAGCTTTGTTGAAATAAAACCTTTCATCGATGTGTTTCAGAAGTATGAAATAATTGTAGCATCAAATAATTGAAATTTCCTCTTTAAACAGTGAATATAAGCAAAGGATGAAACAAAATTCAATTGTTTCGAAGTTATTACTCTCACTGAATTATTATTGTAACTAAAATTATTTGATTTAAAAAAAAATGATTTAAAAAAAACATTATAACTAAAGTTATTTGATTTAAAAATCAGATTATTTTTAACAAAAAATTGAAAAACACATAATATGTTACTCAATTATTTTTATCCTTACGAAAATTTCCTTGCCTGAGTGAAAGAGGGAGTAAACTGATAGGAGGAAGTAAACATATTATTTAAATTATTCTGGTACGATTTAATTTCTGACCACCAGTGTTTGCAGGCAGCCGTACCAGCATTAAAATCTTAAAATCACATTTCGTTTATATCCATATTCTAATAATTACTATTATTATTTGATCCTCGATATTTCACTTATCAGTCATTCATAGACAATTGTGATATGATTCTATCAGAGAAGTTTATGAGCTTCACATGGCAAAATACATGTAAATTTTTTACCGCTAACGCCTGCTGTCGGCATGCAATAAAAGATATTTTCACCGACCCTTTCGCTTTCAACCATTGGTGTATACTTACAGAACTCTGCTCTTTCCTGTGCGAATTCTTCTAGCCTATAGTTCCACTCCTGAACAATCGATAAATCAATAGTTAAGGACTGAAATTGATGCTGTTAAATAATTTGATAGTTCACCACTTCGAACATATTCATTCCACTTGGCATATATATGTGATCTTTATTTTTATGTACTCTTCTAATCACTTCCGAACGGTATTGATTATGCAAATCAACGAAACTTAAACGTTCCAGATCTGATAGTTTGTCAGATGTCAAAAGTTTCTTAATTGTCGTCAAATACCACATTCTCCAGATATTTGTACTTTACAACTTAGAAGAGTAACATATGCAGTAAAATCTTTATTAAACATACCAACGATAATTGCCGAAAATACGATGAAGACTAAAATTCTTCTAAATTTTACAGCAGAATGCATGCTGCTTGCTTTACAAATATATTTGACAACGGGAAATGTCACTCAGCGATGCGAGAGAAATGACAAATTGTTAATTGAAATTTTCTCCCACCGATTGCTTTTTTCATACTTTTTATTTGATGATTACATAAAAACTTTTCACGAGCTGATCAATGATTTTTTTATTTCCTATAAATCAAATTATTATTTATGACAGCCATTAAAATATTTGTTGCAATTCATCGTTTTTAAATTCTGATCTTTGCCTCAATCTTATTTCATTCATTTTTTTTTATTTCATATGAAGAGTAAACGAGCACATTTAAGCTCAGTATTATTCAATATAAAGGAAGAAAATTTCCTAATACGATCAAATTTCTGTGATATGATCAGTTTTCATATACCACATTTATGAAAAGCATTCTCTTATATTCAGTAGAGATTAATCCATTCTCTAACAGATATATTAATAAAACTGAGATTATAATCACGCAGACTGCTACGAATATTTTTTGTCCCTTAAGCAAATCAGTGAAATCGTAAAAAAACTTCATAATATTTCACAGATTATAAACAAATTACTTTTCATTTTGATATAAATCTCATGAATTCAATTATTTCTACAAAAAATAGAAAGGAAAAATGAAAGAGATTTTTTTTCGAAAAATATAAAAAAAATCAGCGAATAGCTGCATCATTCATTTTAAATTCTGTGAGATATTTTTATTTTAATTATTAAAATAAGTAAGTCTTAAACTATCCACTTTACTTCCATTAATTCACAAAATTCCATTCGGCCCTGATGCATTAACACAATTTTAATGTATTTAAAAACTTCCTACCAGATATTTCGTCATTTTTGACGCTATTTGATATTGATAATTAGTGTTATCCAAAGACTGATGGTAAAATGGTTGGGATTTAATCGAGTGGTACTATTCTGAGAAAGAAGTGCATATATCTTCGTTGGAGAGAGTCTCAATAACCGTATATAAATATAGTATTCAACGTAACGATATATATATATATATATATATATATATACTCAACATTGGGCAATACCAAAATTGTTATTTAAATATACAGTAAATCAATAGAAACCACGTAGAAAAGTAATAAGTCACAAGAACAATGGAGGTATGCGTGGGATAAATGGGTAGCAGACATGCAGACATACTAGAGATAATCGCGTAGTTAGGAAATGTGATGTGGCGAAGAGGAAGAAAGAAGCGATGGGAAAGGAGACTGTTTGATTATTCATTGACTGGATTTATTGTTATACATAAAAAGAAAGACGGAGAACATGAAGTGGCGGGAAATGTTGGCGGGCAATTTATTGAATGACATTTGAACAATACAAAATAAATAAACAATACAAAATAAATAAAAAATAAATAAATAATAAATAAATAATGATGATTTACTTTAGCATTAACTGTCAGTTATGCAAAATGTTCATATGAATAATTTTATATCACATAATTTCGGGTTTCCTGATGTTGAGGGATAAGTGACCAAAAATTGTGAATGAGTTAGCACGATTCATTAAACCCTCTCAAAAGAAACTCAAATTTATGTTTTCACTTTGCGCATCAAATATAGTTTATGAAATAGTTGTATTTGTAAACAAAAAAACGAAAACTTTTTTTGGTTTTTATTAAATCTTGCATTATCTCGATTAAAGATGTAACAATTTTTCGATTGAAATTATCAACAATACTCGTAGGGATAGAGCTGCACAAATATGTAATGAAGCAACTGAAACTCAACAACACACAAACAATTCAATGGTCGGATTACCGATGTACATTATATTGGGCACAGAATCATTTTTCCGACTACTGCCAACAATCGTACAGAATCGAGAGTTGAAGAAATTAGGAAAGCAAAATTTTCATTTCTCTTACACTTCCAGCAAGTTGATATCGCAATATTTTGGATTTTCACCTAAAAAATCAACAAACTGTGAAATTCAATGGTCGGATTCCCGATGTGTATTATACTATCACAGTACTCTCGTGATTAAATGCGATAATAAACCAACCAAAAGATGGGTTGTATTATTTAAGTGTTTTACCACGAGAACAAGTACATTTAGAAATAGTGGAGAGTTTACTTGCAGAAAACATTTTATATTTCTAGGAAGATTCTTAACCATATGTTTTTCATTTTGCGCTTCACAAAAATCCTAATTCTCGTAAGTCGTTAATAGTTTGTCCACGTAGGCCTTTCATTCCTTCATTTTTTAGAAAAATGAAATAGGAATAGTTGGTAAAATCAAAAAAGCTGAGTTTATATGTTTTTTTTTTTTGTAAAATATTACATAGAGTAGTTATATGAGAAGAAATTAAATTATTTTTCTATATATTTCACTATTCTATATAAAAAAAATTTTTTTTCAAAGAAATTTCGGTCAAAACGTCATTGTAAAGAAGTCATCGAATTGGAAAAAAATTTTTAAAATATCCCTTGTTGTACTTTAATCTTAAAATTTTGCAATTTTTTACTTTTCTTTTTTATGCTTGTTTAGAAAAATCTGCTAAAGCCATATGTAACGAATTTCAATAAGAAAATAATCAAATTACCGGTTAAAATTTAAAGCTGTCAATAAACAAAGCTTCAGGAAATTTACATTAAAAAATTTCAAAATAACATGTTAAAATAACTGTATATTGGAAATTCATCTTGTCGTATCACCAAATCAAAACAAAAATCATTATTTTAAAAGCTATAAAAATCTAAAAAAAATAGAATCTGATCAAAAATACAGACTTTATCTTTCCAAATACCACAACAACTTGCAAAATTTTGCAATTTTATGGTTTCTTAGAAAAGAAAACTTGTCTTATTTCAGCAAATGTTCGACGAACTCTGAATACATTATGGAAATATATGATAATAAACATTTCAGATAACGTCGAAAGTGCCAAAATATATGGTGGGAAAATTTGAAGTAGATCAAAATTGTATTCATGTATACAACTGAGCAGAAATTTTATAAAATAATAAAGGCAAAATGAATGATTAATATTTGAATAATTGAAATAGAAATGTCTCGAATGACGCAATGATGCAATGATGCAACTGTCTGTTAGTTTTTATTTCTTTTTAAAAAAAATCGCTTTTGTTTTTTCTCTGCTTTTGCAGAAATAATTGAATAGTTGAATCTTTACTGATTATAAAACAATGCTTTAACATCTTATTTGCAATTTGATCATAACAAAGCAATTTGATTTTCACGAAATTTTGTTTCTTTATATTGAGGGATTCTGAATTTGGATTTGTTGGTTTCGGTATAAAATGACAAAAAATGATTAAAATAAAATTTGGGCAAGGACTGAAAGTCAAAAGCGTTGAATTGAAGTCAGTATTTCTATAGTTTTCATAAATAATAATTTGATTTGTTGGAAATAGAAAAATCATTGATTAGCTCGTGGGAAATGATTGATGTAATCATAAAATAAATACGGCTTAAAAACGACATAAAAGACAGTCGACGAGGAGAAAATTTCAGTTAACAATTCGTCATTTATTTCGCATCGCTCAGTGACATTTTTCATTGTCAAATATATTTCCAAA